GGAACGTTCCCCACCCACGTGTGACCCCGCAAATTTAAATTCAGCCTCCCTGTACCCGCGGGTAACACGTACGGCCCTGTAAAAGTTTGGATGGTTAAAATTATTATCACGGGAACCACGGAAGCTAGAAGGCTGAAATTTTTTGGGCATATCTTCTACCCACATGCGACCCAGGAAATTTGGATTCAGCCTTCTCATGCCAGCGGGTAGCAGTGGAAAACATTAAGCAGTGGAAATAATTAACAGGCAGTTGTTCGGTGGACGGAACCTCACAAAACGCATGATCGCACCAGCTTTTTAGAGCTCGCTGCTTTTATTAATAACTCTCAAAATGCTACACAATGTGTAATACAACCTGATAAAACAAACAAAATTACATTCTGGTCTCAGATAATCAAAACACAATATAATTTTTCCATTTTTTTTGCCTCTCAAAAAAATCATAATTCTGACAAGTCCTCTATTTTTGTTCCTGATATATGTTAATTTAACAATTAAAAAGCGCATCAAAATTTAAACGATGTTTTTGAAAGAACTGCTACCTAATTGCTAACCAGCGAGACCGATTTGCCTATATTTTTGAGACATTTGAAGATGCACTGAAGATAAAACAGCACCGTGGATTATAGGTGGTAATTTGGGATTCGATAAAAATGGTTATGTGTTACATGTACACGATGTTGGTAAAGTGGATCCACGAAGTCTCGTTGGTAGCGGCCGTGTTTCCGAACTCTGCATCGCTGCTATCTATGATTGCGAGGGAACGCAATGTCTTATGAGGTATCCCCTTTGCCTGTTGAGCACAGACTTCTAAGATTCATAAAACTTTTGAAAAAACAGATTCCGCGTTGCCTGAAATTTTGAATCATAGACTTGAAAGGAATCGAATCACAGTTGTACGTAGATGTGTTAAACCACCGCAGCATTGGTGGGCCCGCGTTGTCAGAAATTTACAGGTCGCAAAACGATTAAATTAGCCAAGTGCGGTATTTTTCTGCTTCTTGTAGCGCTTTCAAATGGGCCTTTGGTTTCAGAGTATCATTTCGTAAATGCATCAAAATCCCGTTGCTGTTCACCTTTAAAAACCACCACTCTAAATTTTTCATGAATTTGGAGTCATATTTATTTAGGTGAATCTGGCACTGCACATCGTTGGGTTATCACTTCGCCGTTTTGCAGATCGGAGGAGGCGAAACGTGGTCGAAAACTTGGCGCCGTAGTGATCATCGACCTCAGTGGATTCTCATTCGACGTAATTTTTCATATCCCTGCTACCCGAATTTACACGACAGCTCTTATGCTGATGCAGGTAAGCCACTGAAGCTATTGTTAGTCCAGTGCTATTCTTGGTTATTTGCTGTACATCTTTAGGTTTTTAGCTATAACTAAAACTACTTCTCAGCTTTGTCTGGATAAACTTTATTGGCAGCTGTTTTCTTTTCAGGATCTGTTTCCGGACACGGCAATAAGATTATATGTTGTAAATGCCCCATTAGCTGTTAACGTTCTGTTGCATATGGTAAAAATGGTTCTTGCGAAGGCAAGTCTTAAAATCTTCAAACTTAAGATCCTAGAAGATCTGGAATAGTTCTTATGCTGCTGCAACTAAGCCACTGGAGACCGCCAGAGGTCAATAGCCTTGTGTAATCTAAGATAAAGTGAGATTGTATCTGTGCAACGAGGAAGATAGCACTAGAAAATAAGAGATTAAGCTCTTGATTTGATTCTGAGATTTTCGTGAGATGCAAGATTTTTTGTAGATTATTTTCATTATTTCAAGGAGACCCTGGAAGCGCTGGAAATCTTGGGTAGCGACTGGAAAGAAGTACTGGTGAAAAGACACGGTGCTGAGTGCTTGCCGAAAAGCTGTGGTGGCTTGAAAAGTGATGAAATTTTGCGCAAAGGCGGTGTGGTGCCGGATCTTGTAAAGTTGATATTTTTTAAAAAAGTCAATTTCCTTCTTTTATGCCAAAATTATCAAGGCTATGTTTGCAAGCAATGGGAAATTCCGATGCTAGTGGTGTTACTGAGATGCGTTTGTAAGTCACGTGCAACGGCGCAATGCCCTTCTATCTGAAGCTGTATCTCTTTTTTTTCGAACAGAGTGGCAAAATGATACTTGTAATTTTAAATTATCGGCAAATAGCACTGTATGAGTTTAGAAATGTTGCGGTTTAGGAGGATTCATGTGCAGGCGTATTTTGCAGGGCGCAAATCAAACGGGTGCATATACCAGCAGAAAAGCTTACCAAAGTGACAGTGGGTGCACGTGAAATAATAGCCGTACCCATTAAAGTGCAGAAGCAGCATTCAAAGCTTTCCTGGTACTTCACCTGTTCATCTGGTGATATCGACTTTTCCGTTGTATTTGAAGAGCAGGAGGTAAGACTTTTCGGAAACGAACTGTTCGAATTCTGATTGATGAGATGGCAAACTTGACCGGAGTTTTATTCTTTTTCTCAGCTCAGTTCGGAAACAACCCGTTAATCATGAGCATTATGAAGAAAAAGGATGATGAATCTTAAATACATAGTGCCGCGTAACAGGTAATCGGCATTCTGCACTTTCAGAAGTTTGCCGTGCACTTTCTTTTATTAAAACGATGCGAGCAATTCCCACTTTGAAATGACTTGTTCATACGTGAAGCATAGTCATGCATGAAAATGAGATTTAAATTCCAAAATCACATGTGGACAGAAAGATCCTCTTAAAATTTCAGCTTCCTAGCTTCTCGCTGCTCGGTTGAAAAACTGGACCAGTATATCAAGACGTATTCACAGACGTATTCGCAGGCCTGGGCAATGTGCGTTTTGCAAAACGCGTTAAAGTCTCATTAACGCGTTAAAATCTCATTAAATCTTTTGCTTCTGTTAGTGATGTTAGATTTCGAAAATGGATCTGAGCTTCGAAATTTGGTTTTAGTGCTTCTCGTCAGTATTTTACAGCAAATACTGAGTTCTGTGACAAATCAGAAAAATGCCTAGAGAAATTGTCAGAGCATATTGGCAAAGAAAATCCAACTCTGGCGATGCTCCTCTTTTTGCGAGTCAGAGCATACCACTATTTGGTTTCATTACCTTCGCAAAAATGAATATAAAGCAGCTGACAGTACTGCTGCAGTTTACTTCTTGAATTAACGGTGCTTTGTGCTAACAAAACCGTAATCTGGAATCTATAACGTCGATTAATTCAGGTTTGGCCACGTTTCCGGATTTCAACCGAATTTTCGCCGGAATTCAATGAGATAGTATGTAAAAAACCAGGAACTTATGAACTGCTATTTTCGAACAAGCATGGTCGTCTCTGGAACAAGCATATATATTACAGTATTGAAGTCAGTGAGCCCATGAATTAACTTACGCATTGTACATTGTGTGTTTCTTTCTGTTGTATGTAAATTCTATACAGAAGGTATAAAAATAGAAATGGCAAATTTATTTATTATCAGCGTTTTTTCTGCCTACTAAAAAATATATTTTGGTGTTAAACTCCGCATATATACATGAACACAAGAAAACACAGTAAAAAATAATGGTGCACAAACTGAGGGAAACTGGAAGCCCTCCGATGAAGCTACTAGATGTGTACATGGTGAAACGAGCCTCACCAACAAGATCTTTTCGTAAGCCGGGAAGGGAATTAAACCACTCGTCTTCATGTTCGAACGCGACGTGCTAAACCACTGCACCACATGCTCTGGTGCCCACAACCCAGCTAGAGAATATAACTGTGTATGTACCTACCCTGAACACAATCTGTATCGCGCAGTTACTGCGCCTTTTGCAGCTCAGTTTTTAATACCTTGTGCAACTCAGTTTTTAATAACTACAGGCTTTTCGCCGGACTTCCACGACGTTTATACTAACTGCATATGAGCGATTTGAGACAGAAGGAAGTGATACTGTTTTGTCATGAATATATGTGTGTGCAAACCAGTAGCACCTTGAATATATATGTGCGCAAATCAGTAGCACCTTGACCGTTCGGTCAGTCCTGGTAATCTTGGCACAGACACAGAAAAATCGAACCACTGCAGCTACAAGGAAGAATCGAACTCGCTTCTTTAATCAGTCGCTGCAAATTTGGGGGAATACGAAGTCTCGATCCATACTAAGCTTATTTTGTCTCCCAACTGCCTCAGAAACGTTGCTGGTCTTCCGAAACTTTGAAATTTTCGGACGAGGCTTGAGAGTGTTTTTGCGTGATCTGAAAACTAACAGTGCTCGTCAGTAACAGTTCTTACAAGTCTCATACTTCTTTTCTGGCAAATTCCAGTTAAATTTGTTACGTTAGGGCGAACATAGTAGCAGCTAGCTCAGCAGCATGCAAAATTTCTTTCGAATCCCCCTTTCAAAGCTATTGCAGGGAAACAAATTACACATGATTCGCTGATCCACCATAACAGTAAACTGACGCAGATGTCAATCGTATTTTAGGAACGTTGGTGCTGTTTTAAGTTCAACTCCGAAGTAATCTCGGAATTGAGAATCATTGAATGCTAACGCTGGACATGCGAGGATGGCGACACGGACGAGGCTACCGTATCGTATGGCTTGTTTTATAGAAGAACCTTTAAAAAAAGATCCATTATTTATTCCAGACGATGGTGGCAATACTTCTCGGCTCCATGTGGATGCGCAATGCTTTTCCAGGAATAGCTTCATCTTCAACCGAGAAAGCCATCGGCTTAGTACGACGATTGAGAAGCACAAGGACTCGCTGTAACGTCGGTGTGGAGAATGCGACTCCTTCGTACGAAATAGGCTTCGAATAAAAGTGCAGTCCAATTCTAACTGAACCCGGGCGAATGAATTTGCTGAAAGTAATAACGTGACGCGATAAGAGGAAGAAAGACGTAAAGAAAACAAGCCTACAAGTAATTTGTTCTGCTGCATTTTAGCATCTTGTTTTACCGCATCTGTATAAATCAATCGTCTACGGAAACGAGGAGATGACGGCAATATCTCGATGTGACCACGCCAATTATTCTCACTTTTCATCTATTGGCAGGCATGCGACACTGGCAAGTAGCACCTTGTGTTTTAAAAGCTTGGGATTTTCCAACAATGTCGGCTGATCTGTGAAATTGGCGGCAAATAAAAATTCGTGCTTATTTTGAATAAATGGCTGAAAGAACTGCACATGTTTAAGATAATGATAGGATATTACCTGAAGTGTCCAAGAACATAGAACATGGGCTGTTTGTAAAATTCGTCAGCTGTTGCATTTACGATTATTGGTGCATCTACATAGTTTTTGGCAAGGTTTGGCCCACCCTTCAGATCGAGACAAAGATTCCAGTCGGTCCATCCAGTCACCCAGTTGGACAAGTCCTGAAATATTTGCGTAGCTGTATGGAGCAATAATAAGGTGTAAAAGATATTTTTTTGTCAAGCAAACAAACGTGCCAAATAAAACATAACTAATAAAATCACAAGTATTCTTTTAGAAATCATTGCTGGTCACAAATCTACGATAAGCCACAAGGCAGCATCTTCAGAATTTTCCTAAAAAATTTTAAGAGCATGAAGATGCTGCCAGGTGTCTTATCAATTTGCTTGTAAGCAACCTCCAAAAGTGAGAGCCATCGACGGACTTATCAAAAAGTAGTTTTGGCTACTTCCTGAACGCCTTCGCCTTTCATAGAAAGCGAATACGAAGAGGAATCTTGACGCCAAAACTGAACTCCATGCTTCGTTAAACGCTCGATATGCCGTATGCATAGCTTTATTCATTTTTCCAAGAGCTGCATAAGAGCATACTTCAATGATGTCGTGTGCATAATTATCGCCACGTGACCAGTCTCCGAGTAACGGGCTGTGCTCCAGAGGTTCCGCTCCATTGCACGCCTAAAAACACCTTCTTGCCTTGCGAAAATTCAATTTTATATTTTTCGCTGTGCCCTGCAGTTCAGACTGATGTGCCGTAAATTATATATCGAACTTGAGAAAATCTAGAAAAAATCAGCAACCTGTCACCTCAACATATCACTGGTATGTGGCGTGCGCAAGGTACTGGACTCAATTTTGGTTTAACTCGCAATATCACAGTAAGATGAGTACACCAAATTTGGTTCAGTTTGGCCGTTATGAGGAGCGCTCATATTCTTGTGCATAAATTACGGACGACTCGTCGTTAACTAACGAATTGGCTGCCATCCTCCAAAAAAAGTTGCTCCGATTTTGTAAATCACACATATATCAGCTGAACGGCAGAACTTGCTTTATGCAGACTTAGTATTTATTGCAATATAAAAAAAAACAACCTCAGTTGCAAGAATAAATTTATCCGGATGACGATTATGCGTTTCAGCGAGCTGTGAAGCAGGCACAAAATCGGCATACCAATGTACTGCAATACCAGAAATGTACTGCGCTGCTTCTTTATCTTTCAGTACCTAAAAAAATCAGTTTTTCAAAACTGTCTTGTTCTATCATGCATCGGCAAGGGTGATGTTTTCCAAAAATAATCACATTTTTACTTGTCTTTCAACATAAGTCCTTAGCTTTACTATCTCTGTCTATTCTCAGAATACAAAGACCCTAACTAATTCATAATTTTATTTTGTGTCACTCACTTTAGTTTTCCAACAGCACATTTTGCTACATTCTTTTTATCATTTCTTTCCAATTTCCCGGTATTTCCTCTCTTTCACATCTCATCTTAATACCATCAGTGACCTTTTTCGTCATTTCTCTTAATACCTCCCCAGTCTTTTTTAATCAGCAATTTATTCCCCTCCCCCTCTCCTCACCCTCCCCCTCTTCTCAAATTTTGCATTTTTCGTTACAGGAAGTCATCTCTTCTTCTCCCCCATCCAAATACAGCAAACTTCGCTTTTTGCAGTTCTATTTTCACGTTCCTTTCTTTCCACAATTGACTTATAGTAAGCCTGTACAAATTCAAGTACGCATAAAAATTTTGGACTTTTCGCGTAGACAAAAACAAAAAAAAACAAGTACCACGTCAGCCCAGACTGGCAGCTGTGTCCTCAAGTCATCCATTATCATCAGCGAGATATTTTTACTCACTTCATTACTTCGCAG